AAAGCCAATTATTTTGTAGTATAAAAATATAACTTCGAAAAAAAGTGCATTCACGCTTTTTAGTAGATTGAAGTCTCAACTGACACTATGTTTCCCATGTTGTGTAAATATTTTTCCTGCTAGTTATATTTTGTTAGCTGATCCAAATAACTTTAGAAACTATACTTATTTATTATAATTATTACAGTCAAAACTCAAAAGTGGTTTTGACCGAGGGCGTTAGTCAAAATTACTAGGAAATCATTAAAAACAATTGTAAAATGTAGCATTTTTATGATTTGTGCAATGTGCATACAAAATAATGACACCTTACGGCCGGTTCACACATGTCTCCGTTTTACTGTTCCGTTTTATGTTATTGTACTTGACGAAAAAAAACGTACACGATAAAACGAAACAGTAAAACGGAGACATGCGTGAACCGGCCGTTGAGGTACTACAGTAAGGTGACTTTTTTTTTTCATAATATACTTAACAAATGTGACTTTTTCATTTTTTCAATTTTTATGATGACTATCCTACCTTAATTAGGTAATACGTTATTTTATAGCATGTTTTCATTTTCTTAAATCATCTTTTAAAATTATCTTTTTCCCTGACAAATACCTAGTTTCTTCAAATATGAGAAATAATAAAAAGCAACATTACTTTACCCGATGTGGGTAGATGTCATCATTTTATATGTACAAATCACATAAATGTTACACTCTAAAATAGTTTTAGTACATATTTTTGATGATTTTTTATTTCTTTCGTTTGTTCCAAACGCACATACTTAAATACAATAAGAAACATCTAATAAATTTACCTTTTCAGTTATTTTAATATCCTCTCTTTGTAGATTTTTAAAATATTTGTTTAGATAATCTAAGGGCGTAAAGGACAAATTATTTAGACTTTGGTATGAAATGTTAGGTTATACGCCCAAAAATGTGTGTTTACTTGTTCTTTACTACCATAGTAACAGTACTAAAAAATCAAATGTTATTTACATCCCAATTTTCACGATGAATTCTGTTTAGCTTATCAAAAATGATGGGTCGTAAAGGCACTTTTTTTGGGATTTTCGACAAACTAAATATACAGATCGATAGAGAATGAAATTCTGAGTAAAACTGTATAAATAACTCATTTTCGGTATTTTGTCCTTTACGACCTTTGAGCCCAGAGGTATCGACATGGTTATTTTTTGTTTTTAGCGTTAAGAGTTACATTTCAAACTAATTTGAAAAATCTGGCCGTAACAGCGTATTACACTTGAAAATTTCGACGGGTTCATGCAGTGTCTAAGTAGCTCAGTTGAAAGAGCAGTCGCCCGGCAAGCGGAAGGTCCTGGGTTCAATTCCCGCCTTAGGCAGTTCGATTTTTTCAAGTTATTTACAATTGATAAAGCATTCTCAATCAGCCCCAAAGTTCTCATGTCTCTCCACATTTCATAACGACGAATATACGACGAATTTCGTCATAGAGATGGATTGAATTTCGGAGAAGTAAGAACCTTAAAAATAACTTGAGGGGAAAGTGTTACCGTGAAACGTGCGATAAACAAATAGATAACAACGCGGGCAAAGCCGTAGGAGGAAACTGGTAGAATAAACATAAAAATATAGAAAACATTCGTTCGTTCGTTCGAAATATAGAAAACATTATGTTAAAATTATTGTGGCTATATTGCACTCAACATGGAAAGCATTGGGGGAGGCCAATGTTCAGCAGTGGACGTCCTATGGCTGAGATGATGATGATGATAATGATGATTGCACTCAGTTTAGAACTTATATCGCATCGAATATTTACGAGTGGCGACGGCGGCATCCATACTCAAGTTCCTTTTTCTCCTTGAGAGTTTCCTTTTTTACTGTATCGATTATTTGCTAGAATGCATATCACATGCTCGTTTCTTACTATACATATACAGGTGTTAGGTAAATGGGTATAAAATCCGATTTGTATGAAAATTAAAATGAAGATATCAATTTTCTGACTTCACCATACCATTTATATGACCATGTTAACATGGGCTAGTGTCGGCTCATATACCCATTTACCTAACACCCTGTATAGCTGACTTGGCTCAATCGGACCAACGCCCATTGGTTCATTATTTTATGAGGAATAAGTAGCCAATTCCAAATCGGCCTATCCCTACCTTATGTGCGTATCTACTTTCATACTTACGGGTTCATACTGATTAAAAGCCTGAACATGTAGATTTTGGTCTGCGGGCTCTAATGAAACGCGAAAGCTTAAAATCATAAACTGAACTACACTTTATAAATCCACTACGCGTGTTAAATAGTTCTTGTTCGAAAGCATTACAGTAATCTTCGCCAAAACGAAGCCACATCGTTAAACTAAAACTAAGTTCGGAGCCACTGTTGTTCTTAGAAGATCCCGGCGCTGGCGATGCTTGTGTTGGCACTATGAATTACTGTCAGTTATGGTACATGGATTCTGCAAAATTTGTTCCAAACTAGTACTTATTACAACGGCTTAAGAAAGCAAGGTTTGGCTCCGATGTGAGAGACTGCATTTCGGCGCTGATGGAACTAGAAGGTTGAAACTTAAGCAGATTTGAACTTAGGTAACACCCACGTGTTTAAATTTGGTTCGTTTGTGCTGTAACAAAGATTAGATAGATACTTTTGACTGTAAATAAGTAAATAAGGCTAGAAAATAACCCTGTCCAGATAGATATCTTATTAAGACAATGAAAGGAAAAATAAAGGGGAAAATTCATCAGTTACAATGACTGCTAGGGCACATAAAAGGTGAAAAAATATATTTACACAATTAATAACATTTTGTAAAAAAAAATACCTACCTATTTGTAATAAAAAGCGAAAGCTACAAATCTTAGGCTGAGTTGCACCACCTAACTTTAACGGTAACTATGACGATAACCGGCGCTTTTTGTAGATTTTTGACAGATTTAAGACGTTTGTCAAAGTTAAAGTAAGATGGTGATAGCAACCCAGCCTTATTCTAGGAAAAAAGCAATTAATTAATATTGAATTGTTTCCGAGACACATCTACACCGTGTCCTTTATCAAATTGGTCAAAATCAAAATCAATTACTCAATCATTATAGAAAAAAAGTTTCAAATTACCTTCATGAAAACGCCCTATCAAAGGCGCTCTTTACGGCTCATAATCAAAATTTTAATACCATAAAATAGGCGCTAAAGTGCGGAAGGGCGTGATAAAGTGAATTTCCACAGCATGTCCTATTAAAAACCGTATTGGCACGTAACGTAAGGTAGTATTACAACAGTGTTGTAAAGCAGTAAGTCCTCTTCTATACAAAATGTTCGTTCGTTCGTTCGTTTCAGCCGAAAGACATCCACTACTGGACAAAGGCCTCCCCCAAGGATTTCCACAAAGACCGGTCCTGCGCCGCTCGCATCCAGGCACCTCCCGCGACCTTCGCCAGATCGTCAGATACAAAATGTAGTTAGTGGCAAAAGACTGAACTTGAACCATCCAGGAACATTGTAGGAATAGGTACTTCAACTTTTTAATAATTAATTGGTTTTTAGCGTCTAGCGCTTAACTATGTCAGTGTCTGAGGCATGGGAGCGGCACGGGGAGGGTGACATTGACATTATTATGACGTGACAGGGCATATAAATCTGAAGTCTTGCTGACGCTTTACCGTCTTGGTCTAAGAAGAGTCAGGGAAGAGTCTTGGTGACTCTTCCATGCCGCTCCCATACCTTAGGTACTGACTGAGTAATAAATACTGTTAATTGTGAAAAATATAAAACGTTAAAATAGCGGTATCGTTATACCCAATGAGCTGCTGTCATAGTGACATTGACGTATTGTCAATGTCACACGAGAATCAAACGTCAGAATAGAGGGACGCGCGGAGACGACTCCGCGCGCTTTTGTGCTAAGTGATGAATTGTATCTAAAATAAGGCAATATAATGTGAAAGTTAAGTATCCAGTGTTTTATTTATGAGAATAGATCTACCGACCTCTAATAATACATAGAATAAACTTACTGTTACCTTATCCTACTGTGTTACTTCGGACAAAATGCTCGTAAACCGCTTTGGCTGTAAAAAGAAATTCCCTTTTAGAAGTTCAAACTTCACTCTATAACAGTATATTAAAGTGAAAAACGACGGACAAAAGTTAGCTCCTTGTGTGACGCTACGTTTAAAACGTATTTGAGTAGCGATGAAAGGAATTTTTTGACTTTACTTCGTGCAATTATTCTTTTCATTTTATTTTTGTATAGCGGAGCCTTTTGCCCGATTACAGAGGAAAAGATGCTGTTTTTAATTAGTTTAATGTAGGTTTAAATGTAAGTATTTTTGTTTTCATAACATTGAAATATGTCCTTGTGAATTTTGCGTAGGAGGTATACGAATTTCATTAACTTTGAGTAATAATGTAAGTAGGTATTTTATATACAGTTTTATTAATTTCTTATTTACCTATATAAACGGGTTATTGTCAATTTGTCTCAAAGTAATTTCATCATTTTTAAATTCGTTGTGAAAAATATATAAATATGATTTTGTTACGATTGAGCTCACCACAGCAAGCGGCGGGGTTCAAAACCATAGAACACGCAGTAAAAACAATCACTGTGGATTTTACAAAAACGAGCAAACAATACAGTATTTATGCTCACCTGTTTTTGCCTACTTCCCAAATATAAATTACCACGAGTCCGCAAATCGTTATGCAACATTTCGCCCGTTACAACAGTTGCTAACGGTAACAATATGCAATCCGTAACTGCATATTAATGGCAACTATAAACTAGTTTGTTTTTGCGCGAAGTTCTGATTAAAAAGTTGCCAAACACAGAGTTCGGGTCGAATCGAATTGGTTTGGGAAATAGTTGGGAAATTTTAAATTATAAATAGTAAGTCAGAAAAATATTGCTAGCCATGTGGTTCCGGCAGAGTAAAAAAGGACCATTCTACCTGTGGATGTAATAAGAGCTTGTTTATGGCCATCACGCCAGCGTAGGAATAGGCCATGTTTGTCTCTGGTGAACTAAGCAGAGTCAACTTCTTGCAATGGAGACTTAACTGGCTTCCTACAAGTTGTGGTGGTGAGGTAGACCGTGGGAATAGGATAAACTAATATTTTAGTTTTATTCCTAATAGTTGTATACTATACCACAGAATAAGTAATAGTACAGGTACAGAAGGATTACTCCGCAAGACGATTTAAATAAATGCGAGTCTTGCTACGACGCGATACAGTGGAATTCAGCTCGCACAGCACTACGTACCTACAATTTTATTCACCTACAAGTTTTGTCTCTTTCTATCGCGTGCCTCTGAACTCTTCTTACGCTGTTAGGGTTGCTGTCTAGTGAAAAAATAATTAATCTACTTATTTGTAATGAGGTACGTATGTAGGTAAGTATGCATTCATTATGGAAATCCTTCATAGTAGGTTAGGTTCCTATACTATCCTAAGAATTATTGATTACCTACATGGCCAACATACCTTTCAGCATCTTTGGAAAGCGAAAAAAAAAAAAAGATAAATCCGGTAGATTACTTTTCGTTTAAACACCCGAACGCCGCACAATATTTCTTTCTCTTTATGTCCATTTTTAAATAATACTTCGATCATAGAATAATAATCATACTACTACAACGCACGCCACGCGCCAGCGTCCTGACGAGCGCGCGCGTGACACTCGATTGATATAATACCCGCCGCGGCGGGGCGCTTCGCTGTAGGTAATTATCGGATGTACCGCGCGGAGTGAGCCAGGCCTGACTATACAACGGCACATCTGTGTGCTTACTATGAGTTTACGTTAGGTGTGATCTGAAAATCTTCATAGATTTATTGACGCACTCGCTAGCACACCTAACGTACATACTCATCGTAAGCACACACAATAGCACATGATGCGTTTAATTGTTATTGTACTATTTCTTCGCAGTCTAAATGGCAGGATCAAACTACATTATAGTCTCCTATAACCATCCCTTTGTTCACAGTGATAGCAACAGCTCACAACATCACGTCACTGGACGTGCCTCGATACGGCGATCCACAGAAGGAGGCGCGCCTCGTCTGCCACTACGTGAGCGAGAGAGACGACCCCGCGCTGCACTCCGTCAAGTGGTACCGCGGGAACCATGAGATATTCCGGTTCACGCCTGAGCAGAATGTGAGTTGATTCGTTATTCTATCCCATTGCAGCCAAAAGACGTCCAGCTGGATGAAAAGTTCCCCCAAGGAAATCCACAACGAATGGTCCGCGTCGAGGCACTTCCCGTCACCTTCCTCCTCATAGATCGTCGGTCCACCTAGAGGGTGGCCTGCCCACGCTATGCCTTTCGGCTCGTGGTCACTTTTCTGCCCCAGCGGCCATCAGCTCACGAGCTACGTGCCCCGGCTACTGCCACTTAAGTTTGGCAATTTTGGGGGCTATGTCAGTTACTTTGGTTTTCCTGTGGATCTTTTCATTTTTGATTCATCACGTAGGGAAACTCCTAGCATAACATGCTCCATCGCCCTTCGGGTGACCTTGAGCCTTCTTATGCGGCCCATAGTAAGTTTGTGATTACTACTCAAGAACTTTTCCCTTCCCTTTAGTTAGAATTGTGGAAGGAGTAAACTCCTTTGGCAGTCCATTTCAATGTACCTGTACTTTTATGTAGTCAGTAAACTGTGTTATCAGTCCTGTCCTATTATTTTAAAAGTTACTTATATTGAACCAAATTTTTTGTCCCATAGCCCCCGACCCGTACCTTTAACACGACCCTGGGCGAGGTAACCAAGGGCTCCTGCAACCTGCACAGCTGCGCCATCACCGTCGTCCTGCCGAAGACGTACAACACCAGGATATCCTTCACCTGCGAGGTCTCCACGGAAGGCCCGAGGTTCGCTGTCGTGAAGCAGACGAAGAATCTGACTGTGGCTGGTGAGTTTATGGTTCTTTTGTATCATTTTGTCATCTCTTGACTAAACTGTTTTTCAAGAACTGTTCATTAGTGGTGTGCTCACTCTTACAACAACACCATATTAAGCCCAGGTCGGTGTTTTTGAAGTTCATATGTGCCAAAATACTGATCAAAACTGTCCGTTTTGTAACAAAATATAGATACCGAAGTGCATTTTCTGTACAAAACGCATAGTGTCCTGATAGCTTATTGTACTGCAGCTATTCCGAGGTGATTTTGGTATCCTCCTAATGCATGCAAACATTTCTTGTCTTGTTTTTATTTTTACAGTTTGGAATTAATAAATGATCAGCATTAGTTACTAATGGTTTTTTTCTCAACAGTGATCCTCAAAGAAGATCCAGTCATATCAGGCGTGCCTAGCAGCGTGCAGTTTGGTGAAGACGTGATTATGAACTGCACCACAGTCCCGGCCATGCCGCCCGCGAATATCGTGTGGTACATCGATGGGAAGCAAGAGAAGGTGAGAATTTTCTATGGCTTTCCCTACTAATATAGATATGCAACTGTATAGGCTATACACCGGGAAAAAGAGAATAGGACGTCCACCTAAAAGGTGGATATACTTCATAAAAGTTCTTACTTTTACGCTACCAACCAGGCTGATCGGGAAATCATTGGAGGAGGTTTATTTTTAGCAGTGGACATGATGAAAAGATGAAAATGATAATCATAATTATAATGGGTGTGTCACTGCATCCACAAGTGTGCTATAGTAGCTAAGCGAACAAATAGAAGCAGTCACAAGTTAGGGTTGACATTTGAACCCATTTTTCTGTTGCTGAAATAGTCAGATACTCCACCCTCAGTGCGTAAATACATCAGTAGCAAAAGAGCCAAGTTGCTACAGTTTACTTACGAATACAAAAGTCACACGTCGCAAAGCGGCTGTAAATGAAAATATTCCTTTTCACGCATCGCTTTCGACTACACAAACATTGGTGAATGCTTAACAGGGTTCACATCGAAATACTTGTAGATGAAATTTGAACTTCTAACGAAATGTTTGTCTCCATCTTGGATGCAGGCCTTGGCCAGCGGAAAAATGCTCTGTGTGTGATTTAGAATAGGGAAGTGTTGGTGATCGTTATATTATTCATGTGGTGAGGGGTCCGGGGACATTTTATGAGGGTTATTTATGCATCTTGAGTTAGTAGCTACGTTTGTGTGTGAAGTGAGGATTAGATTGTATTATGGCGTGGTTTTCGCCACATACAGTCGTAATTATTAATCATCGGTAACATAAAAGTAGGATATAATCATTATTATGAGCCCGACCCTCTTTAATTTACCTTAAGCAACTAGAGGCCAAATTTTACAGATCTCCCTAATGTACGATGCGATGAAAAGAGATTCTGCTATAAGACGAAGAGACAGATTAATTAATAATTTATTAAGGACATTAACAGCAATGTGTGTCTAAATATATCCACAAATAATAGTGAGCGTGAAGTACCTACTATACACATTTGTGATTTAAGATGTAATTTCGGTCAAATGAGTGCGTTAAGAATATCAATACTCGAATCTAACGTTCCCACAGGTGGAGCCATGGTCGATTAACTACACCCGCGTGTCAGCGCCGGATGAGTGGGGTCTCCGAAGCACCTGGCGGTACCTCCGCCTCAGAGTGAACACCACCAGGGGGTCCATAGCGATCCGATGCGACGCCATGCAGCCAACATGGCCCCCCTATATAAGGTCCACCAACGCTAGCCTGGTGGTGGCTAGATCACCCCATCTGTCTATGTTCACTGCTTCTGGTGAGTGCAAATTATCTTCAGATTCCTCGCAGACTACAGTTTAGTCGGCAGATGGTTTGGACGGTTTCCAATTTGTTATGACAAAACGGTCATGTTCATATTGATTTACAGTCGGACTAAACTATTGGCCGACAAAAAGTTTGTAGTCGGTGGGGTGCGTAATTTATGTTTTTTGTTGCTTTTTATTTTGTTTTTGTTAACGTATTGGTTTATTCAATAGAGAGGATGAGGATTAGGAATCCTGACCAGGCCTCGAAGCAGATTGAGGTATCACAGCATCAAGAAGGCACTCCAAAGGGAGCCATAAACATAACTGAAGGCCGTTAAGCATCGTGGTTAAAATTTTCCGGCATATTATGGTAAAGCAAATTTACAACAAAGTCAAGTTGTAGGTACGAGGTGAAATAGAGGTAACGTATAACGTGAAACGCAGCGTGAGACGTCCACCCATAAGGTGAACCGACGATTTCATAAAAGTAGCAGGAAGGTGCATAGATGTAGGCCACTTTCAACCGGGCGATGTGGAAATCATTGGGGGAGGTCTATGTTCAGCAGTGGACGTCCTATGGCTGAAATGATGATGATGATGATAATGATGATGTGGAGATGAAACTTGTTTCCTCTCAAACTAGAGTGAAGCCACCAAGAGGAGCCGTGAACAAACATATTGGTTGGTGGATAACTGGTATAGGTTCTTACTGGTATAGTATAGGTAACTGGTATTCGGTTGGCTCGTATTTCGTACTTTTTTTGCATGAGCTAATACGATTTTTCTCATGGTATTATACGATGCAGTAGGGATCATACTTAAGACCCGTCTTACACCAAAGCGAAGCAGAGCGGAGTGAAACAAAGAAGTGTGTTGAATGACCACTCAGATTTCATCAATTCCACTCCTCGTCTCCCTTGGTGGAAACCGGGTCTTAGGCTCAAAGACTTGAGTAAATAATAAATCTAAAAAAATATCTTTGTTGCAGGTTCGTGTCCAACCATCACGGAGTCAGTTATGGTAATAGCGGCGTGCTTGTCGTCAGTACATATATTTTCTAAATACAGTGCCTTGAGTGAAGTCTAATCGGTACAGCCGATGTAAGTAGAGCATAGTTAGGTAATAATTGTCACCCTTGATGCTAGCTCACCATGGTTAAGTTTATTATCCCCACTAATCCACCGTTGGATTTCCCCTAACTCCTTTTACAGTTCTATAACCCCTAAGCAATATTATCTCCGACCCTTGTAAAGATTGTCTTGTCGTTCATGTCAGAGATCTCAACATTATTTCTCTTTGTAATCTAAGGAGGTTCGCAGAATTGCTGACTTCTATTGACGTTGCTTTTTAATATTCCAGTAATGGCAAGAACCTATTTACAAGTCATTATTCTTATTTAAACAATACTATATTATATTAACAAGGATGAGGTCTAGGGAAACGAATTTTTTTCCTAATAAATTCTATTTTCAACTTCCAGTTTTTTTACCTTTTATCCTACAGCCAGAGATCTCCTCTTAAATTAATTTAGCATTCCATTAGGTACGCCACAACTCAAACAGACTGTTAAATAAAGCTCGTCAATCCAAATAAACTGATTATGTTAATAACTAAGTGCTCTACATAATGTAAAATGCCAAGAAAAATATTCCGCGCGACGCGAAACGGTAACAAAAATATAACATTCGTATTCGTGCCTAAGTTTCGTCGTACATTTTCCGTATAAAATTTTGTCTTTACAGAAACTCTGGAAGGTAAACAAAAGATGAAGGTTGATTTATTACCAGACTCGTTCGAGCCAGAAGTAGGGTAATCAGTGCACGTTGTCGATGGTTTTGGTATCGATAATGTTGCTACGATAGACGAAAATTTAAATATGAGGAAACGTATAGCTCTATTAATAATTACTTGAAAACCCATAATGTATCTTGTGAATTTGGTGTTACTTAACAATACGGATATAAAATATCATTTAAACAATAGCTCTCTACACACAGTTTTTCTGTTAACACACACAAATTTTTACTAAATGTGTTTCATCGTAACGTCGAGTAAAAATCTTTCTACGAATTATCAAGCGAGTATGTAACTGTACATCCATTAATGCTATTAATGCTATTACGCACTCAGCGCAAATTGACGATAAAGCCCAATCATATTGACAAGGGTTCGCAGGCAATTTGCTTTAAGGCATTGCTAAACAGAATGGGTTCCTAGCTACGTACAAAGCGCTATATCGCTGAGTGGTGTTGTACTGCGATAGTACAGCACATTGTGAAACAGAGCGCGGACCCTTGACGTTTGGCGAAGCCTGGTTTCTGTAACTATACGGTTATGGTTTGCCCAGAAAATGCGTGGTTATCGTGTGTGTCTAAACCAGGCTTTAAAGAGCTTCCTCGTTGTGGATAAAAAAAACTGTCCACAAAAATATCAAAGATTTTTTTCTTGTTTAGAACTTATCTTTTGTCTTAGTTCAATCGGTTACCAATCAACCTGGTTAAGGTTTTATTTCTATCGATATTTCACAGGTCCATCACTAAACTATTCACGTATGTCCCCCTATGGAATGAAACAAATAAGATATTGTTACACGCGCGTCAGAGTGCACAGCCTCGGCACTATGTCAGGGGAATCCATTAACATGAAGATATCAATTTTACTATCAAATTCTATTTTCGATGCTTTACAGCTGCCGTTTTATTACGTGAAAAATAACGACCTTCGGAGATGAAATACTAAAATGTAATAACACTTTCATAGCTGTTACGTTGGGGGCGTATGTTGTATAAAACGAACTAGTTCCTGACCTCAGTTCAACCCGCGTGCATTTTGGTCTGTCACAGAAAATTTTAACCACGCAGCACGCACATCCCATCCCAACTAATCCCAACTAATATTATAAATGCGAAAGTAACTCTGTCTGTCTGTCTGTCTGTCTGTCTGTCTGTTACGCTTTCCCGCTTAAACCTCGCAACCGATTTTGATGAAAGGACAATGACCAAAAATGTATGGAGTGTGGTCCAAATGTCCACCACGAACGAGACCTATGTAGTAAAATAGTCTACTAAATACTGATTCATTATAACCAAACCGCAATCAAAAATATGCTGTCAGTAAAAAGTTATGACTGAATAAAAAGTCTGTTTTTTACCTTTTCATCCGAAAAATGTTCTTGATATCATTCTATCCATTGCATATTTTGGACTAATCTACGCATGTTATGTCATGTCGCATGTGGCGCGGGGTCATAGATGAATTTTATTAAATATTATACTAGCTGTGCCTACGACTTTGTACGCGTAAAAATAGTTTGAATAATATTTCCCCTTTTTACAACATTTGTCTTTACTGCTCCGCCCCTATTGGTTGTAAGGTGATGTTATTTATCCTAAAACCTTCCTTGATAAATGGGCTACCCATAACAAACATAATTTTTCAAATCGGACCAGTAGTTCCTGAGATAAGTGCGTAAACTACTACAATTTTTAAACAGTCATAACTTTTTACTGACAGCTTATTTTTTTTTCGCCCCATACTGAAAGTTAATCTCTATTTAATGGACTATAAGCCAATATAGGTCTCATTGGTGGTGGACATTTGGACCACTTTTGGTCATTGTCCTTTGGCATAGAGATAGTTTGAGTCCCGGGAAAGAACATAGGATAGTTTTTATCCCGGTTTTTGAAACAGGGACGCGCGCGATAAAGTTTTTCTGTGACAGACAAAATTCCACGCGGGCGAAGCCGCGGGCGGAAAGCTAGTTTCTAATATAGAAGCGAAAGGTCACTGATTGACTGACTGCCTAACTCACTCATCACGAAATCTCAGAAACTACAAGTGCTAGGAATATCAAATTTTGCATGGGGGTTCCGTTTAAAACGTAGGTGCTAACAAAGACGGGAAGACCCAAAGTTAAAAATACCCAAAGTTGCAGACCATTTTTTAAAAAATTTAATATCCTCACGCTCACATCGATATACATTCTGGAAATATGCACATTCGTCTTTAAAAATATGCACTTCTTCTTAAAGAGGAAAGACACTCATAATTTAAACACCCGACATAAAGATAAACTCTTTCTGCCACAATCTAGAATTAAAAAACTTAACTGCAGCCCACTATAATATTTATGTCAGTAAAAATTTATAATAAAATACCTATTGAGATAAAAAACCAAACTAAATTCAAAATTTTCAAGAACCAATTAAAAAAATATTTAATTACCAACTGCTTTTATACATTAGATGAATTCTTTAATAGTAAACAAACTCTTTTAAGATAAGGCATCTCATAATGTAAGTTGCTAGACCTAAGTTTAGACTAGTCCTCTCTCACCACTAATATTGCAATACCCATTAACGGGTTATTAAGTTATAAGCTCATTGTTTAGATTAAGACCCAATTGTAAACACTTAATATGCAATAAAAAATTTGAATTTTGAATTTTGAATTTTGCAAAATTCAACCCCTAAGGGGGTAAAACGGGGTCCACGCGTACGAAGTCGTATTTTATTTCTATAACTAGTGGCCACCCGCGACTTCGTACACGTAGATCCCGTTTTACCCCCTTAGGAGTGGAGTTTCGTAAAATCCTTTCTTAGCGGATGCCTACGTCATAACATCTACCTGCATGCCAAATTTCAGCCCGATCCGTCCAATGGTTTGGGCTGCGCGTTGATAGATCACTATGTTGTCAGTCAGTCACTTTTGTGTTATTATATGTATTTAGATTCCACTCTCCTTCTCAGACCAGCCTATTTTAATAACTTGTCTAAAAGTGGTGATAGAGCAAGTATTTGGGACGTGTAATGAGTGTCCTGAAAAGGGTCTACTCTAAAGTTACAATAATAATTCGAATTCGAATTTAAAGTATGAAGTGGTGTTCCTCACTACAAGTTCGCGAGCACGTCTGTATATTTACATACAAAGTTAGTATTGACATAGCAAGTTAGAACATTACTCAATCCACGTATTACGAGTTCCAAGACTTTTGTGTCTTTTGGAGCCATAATACACATAATGAGTTTACAAATTTCAGCAAAGAGAACTTCGCTACTGAATTATATTCGTTTTCGTTAGGGCGCGTCCACTTCACGTTAAATATTTACGTTTTTTTTTTCAGAAAGTAGCTCAGTTGGTAGTTCGATCCGCGCGTCAACTGCTGGATTATTTATTTATTTATTAATAGGTACAGTTACAGTACATAGAATACTACTTATTTAGTAAAAATACTTTATTAATTTTAACTTTTTGCATATAATCACTGTACAGTGGCAGACTTTATGCCGGATGGCATTTTGTACCAGTCAACCACTGGTCCAGCCGAAAAAGTAAGGCGGTGCAAATTATAACAGTGTAATGATGAACGTACAGTATATTATTGTGGTGAACGTACTGTTATNGGGCGCCGGACGAGGCGACGCTTGTTTTGACTAACACTTACTTACAGGAACAGATATTAATTAAGTACAAAGTTTAATTTAATATGTTGTTACTCTAATGAATAATGTTAATGCTATGATATAGTTATTTTTCTAAAAATTATTCACTGGATGTTGTTGAATTTATCACTGAATTAGATCTTGAACCGAAGTAAATAAAAAGTTGTTTTAACTCACAGGATGATGCACTTCATTTTACGATGCACTAAACGGGATTCGAAGTGTTGACCTTGGAACTGGAACACTGTAGTTGAACTCGTTGACACTGGACACGTAGACACGACTTGCAGAGCAGGATACAGCGGGATATAGAAGAGCGATGCGCGACCACTGGAGAGCCGGGATAATTTCGGCTTTGGATGAACCGGGATACTTCCGGCCTCTGGATGATGATGAGTCCAAACCGGGATGACGACGATGATGACGACGATGATGATGATGACGGACACTGGGCTATGATAGTTCGGGTGATGACGATGTTGGATGCGTGGCACTGCTGATTATTTTTGCACACTTGGAGACGTCCTTGAGATGTACATTTACATCCCTTCTCGCTGACACCAATGTTATGACGGGGTATTAAAATGTCTTTTTAAAAAACAATTATTTTTTATTCACTGAAA